TGCAAAAAGTGGATTTTATAGATATAATCCCTTGCGCGACATCAGCATCTATCTGTGTTAGTACCCAGGCTAATTTTTACAAAATCAAGTTTCGCTGACCTTGTAAAGCAGATTAAGAAAACCTGAAAGACGTCACTGTAGTGCGATCAGCACAGTGCTGTTTTCCCCTGAAAAAGCTCTCTCCAGAACCCAAAGACATCAGTTTTTTCAGAGATGCTTCAGAGTATATTAGTAAATATCTGACCAATCAAGACAAGTTACTTTTGTGCACTCAGGTTCATTCTCATACCTCACTAGCACTGTGATCTAGTTCAGTTTAGTTAATAGCTAAGCTTCAAATAAACGTAAAGTTTTAAAAACAGGAAGACCTAGAGAATCAGAGGCTACAGTGTCAAGGTGAAATACAGCATGTTACAGGTAGCAAACACTGACCAAGATACTTTCTCTAATTTTTGGAGAAACTTTAAAAACCTTTCAGCTTTCCGAATAGGCAGTACAAGTTACAACATAGCTTCAGATTTCTCCTCAAAGCATATAAAACCGCGGCTAGAAGAGATGTCTGTGGACAGGTAATATTTGGGTATATACATTTTTCTTCAGATCTTATTAATCAAAACCCTTCTGCAGGAAGAACTATCCTTGGATGCACCTAAAAAAGGTTTCCCTTGCTCGAAAGCTAGTCGAATCCGACTCTAGGGGGCGGTGCTCATCTCCGTTTCCAAGCCGAAGAGCCAGCACTGTCCGAAGAAGTTTCCGTGGTCATGTGGCCAGCATGACTAAACGCCAAGGCGCATGGAACGCCTTCCCATCAAAGTGGTACCTATTTATCTACTTGCAATTTCTTGCTTTTGGATTGCTAGGTTAGCAGTACCTGGGGCCAGAGGCGGGAGGTCACTCCATCACGTGGCACTCAGGTCTTGAACTGCTGAGCTACCAATCTTCCAGTCTGCAGCTCAGCATCTTAACCTCTGAGCCATCGCAGCACCTCTGGATGCACCTAGGCAACAGCAAAATGGGGAACCCACAATCCACCAACTTCATAATCTTGCTGTTATAAATAGCTTTAGTTAACATTTACCACCAGACTTTTCCTGGTCTTGCAAGTTTAAGAGTAACTACTGGGGTGACCTAGTTTTATCCCAGAGTTCCTTGCTTCAGAACCTGAGGTTTGAGGAGAGCCTGGCAGCTAAATCCACACAAAATGAGTAGCCTGCCCGCCCACAGGGAGTTGTGGTCATTATCTGTGATCCTACAGAAAAGAGCTGACTTCACAAAGCTTCTCTACCTATTTGCCTAGAACCAATCATTACCTGACATAAGGAACAAGGCAAATTGCTGTTTACAATCCACAATTAGATTATTTTCTTTAAGCCTGGAAAAAAATTGAAGAAAATTCAAGCCACAACAGTATCAACTAAAGTTTAAGGAGGGAAAGGCAGCAAGTACATGTGGAAAGGCAGCAAGCCCTGTGGAGTGCAGACTTGAGGTCCTGTGGACTGCAGACTTGAGGTGAAGTGTCATGTGGAGATGCGACTAAAGGTTGTTGCCATCTCTACTGACAAAGGAAATGTCCAGCACGAGCATCCATTCAACTTGGGCTGAACAAGCATTAGCTGGAATTCACAAGACTCACAAAACAGTGATTGGCAGTGCTAGCTGTTGGATACTCAACTGACCACGCAACACCGCATCTTGTAACAGGGACTAGACTTGAATCTGAGAGACCTACACACACCAATACTGCCATGAATGAACTAATGTCCTTGGGCCCGTCATCACACAAAGCAGACCCCCGCTTCTTTACAGTGGAAAAATTACTTTGTACGCTAAGTAGTCTTACTGAAGACTTAATTCTGTTATTTTCCAAGTCTGGCAGTTCCTTGGAGATTTTGGCTTATTTTCAAAGTCTTGTCAGCGACGTGAATTTTCAGCCCTCGTTTTTAGTGCTTTTGTAAGCTTTGAGCAATTACACAGTTCTCATCAGCGACAGCCTCATCGTCAGCAGTAAACTGGCTGATGTGCAGTTGCCTTGCAAGAGAGACCAACTGGGAGCCACAGGGAAGCCAGCTGAAGCTCTTCAGGGAAGAGCAAGGCATGGATGCACAACTGAGAAATAAAACTGTCCACGACACAAAGCAACTAAATGGAGAGATGTGCTTTACATCATTCATCTCTGTGGCCACCTGAATCCTTACATATATGGAAGACTTCAAAGTGGAATTAATGCTTTTTGCAAAAGTAGGTGTAATACTTCCAAGTACAGAGAATCAAGTTCAAGTGAATTCTCTTTTATAAAGACCCTTCAATCCATCATTTTAGATTCCAAGACAAGCATGGTATCAAAATCTCATAGAATTTCTATTGTCTCCAGAAAGTGTTAGAACATGTGACATTTGTCTCCTGAAGTTACGCTTGCACAGCAAAGTCGAGACCCATTTATCACGAAATTTAACATTAAAAGCCACTAAAAATCAATCTACACTGATTCCATGTTGCTGGCATCTGAAATTTAAGCACATTAAGGCAATGGAGACAGATGACAAAGTATCTGTCTCAACTATCTATTAAATAGGTAAGAAAAGGCCTAACACCAGAACACTGGGAAGCATTTTTGTGCTGCTTTAGCCAATCCTGAATTCACAAATCCCATCTGCCGCCATCCCTATTCCTTTTATCAGCAAGCCCAAAGAAAGGGGCTTTAGAAGAATAGCTTACAAAAAGCGGGAAAGGAGATGAGAGTGAATAAAGCAAAAGAATGTGTCTTATATTTAAGCTCAAACACTGTTGTAGATTGCTTTGCACTAAGGGGGAAAAAAGTTAATTCCCTGACTGATTCTCTTCAACTGTAAGTCCTAGATGGACTCAGATAAAGCTTGATGAGTACAGTCTCCAGATAAATGTGATCTTGCTTGCAAGAAGAATTTGTCATCAGCTGCTTCACAACACTACACCCCAACCAAGATTAACCTAAAGCCAGTCTCCTGCAACAAAAAACAGGAGGGGAAAAAAAATCTGGAATATGATATATTGGACCCAATACCCAATCACCAAGACGGGCAAAAATATTCAAACTGAGAGGACACCGATGCTACCTAATAAATATCATGGTCAACCTAATGTCACGTTTTCAGAGTATTCAGATTGAATCCAAGTGTGACACCAATCCATAATCTGTTTGAAAGCAGGATTCACCCAGCCTGAGGAACTGGAGCCTGTTTTTTGTTTTAAAGATAATGGCCAGAACAGACAGGCACAGGAGGGGAATGACATTTTCACACCCTCATGATCCCCCAGGCTAGTAAATCATACAGAACCAGGGGGGACACTAACCAGCAAGCTTATTTCTCCTTCTAGAGAAAGACTTTGCAGGAAAAAGGACAAAATAATTCAAGAGAACCGACTTAAAACTTTCCATGCCTCTTGTATTCTTACTACAAAAAAAAAACAAAAAAACCCCCGGCAGAATGCATTAGTGCATGCACGTATAGTCTAGGATTCCCCTGTCCAGTCCAAGAAAAGGAAATATATACTATATACAAACACAAGGAAGGCATCAGAAAGATCATTCGGAGTTACGAACAAAGCACCTCCGGACCCTCCATCTTGGATGTGGACACTTGGGGGGGGGGCTTTTCCCGCCCTCTCCCCCCCATACCCAAAATAAAAGTCAAAGCCAGGATGATGAGGAAGATGAGAACTGAAACCTCCCAGATTGGGAGACATTTTATTACTAACCATGCAGATAGAGGGGGGGCCTTCCTTATGTCCCCCCCCGTCCCTTCCCACACACTCTTCCCCTTCATAGGAACCCTTCTGCTGAAACCACCTTAGCTCTCCCCCTTCTTGTACCAGCAAAAGGTAGTGTGCTAAACGAATCCCTTGCCAATGGACCGACTTTCCCTGCTTAAAATTACCCTCAAATGCACAACACCCATGGGGACACTTTTATTCCCCGAAGACACCAAACCCCAAATCCTACTTGAAATAATGTATATTTATTTATTTAGTTCAATTCCAGCCCGCCGTTCCCACAAAGGGTCTCGGTTTTGTTTTTTTTAACGAAACATTAACATAATACAATAAACAAAATCAAAGATCACAACTTCACACTCCCTCCCCTCCTTCCTTGGGGGCCCAGCAGAGAAGCCCACAGCTTCTGCATCCGATCCACAGCCTCAATCACCCCACGGCACAGCCGATCGGGGACCCTCCACCCAGGAATCCCACACCCAAGCCACCCCCCCCCCTATAGAGGGGGGGTGCCCAAGCCCACCCGCTAGTTTGCACACACACACACCCCAACCCAATGCTCCCTCTAAGCTGTGGGGTCTCGTGAGCCAGCATTCTACTTTGTGGGCTACCGGCATTACCGTTTTGAGGGAGCGATCGGGCTCCTGCATGAATCAGTTTTGCTCTGGAGCCCTCCTTCCTGAGCCAAGGCAAAAATCTGCGAGCCGGAGGCTAAAAAAACCGTGAGCCGGCTCACACTAAACTCAGCTTGGAGGGAACACTGCCCCCCACCGATCCAGAAGGAGGGGGGGAAACACCCCCAAACCTCACTCCCCACCCCACTCTGACCTTTCATGCTCTCCGATGACCCCACCCCCCAAAAAATAATAATAAAGGGAGCCTAGGATGCCCGCCAGCATCACGCTATTCGCTCTCCTCTTCCAAAAAAGCCCCATATATGGGGACGAGGTTACACGACAGGCGCATCGACGGAGAGACTCCCCAATGCGCTTTTCTCTCTCCCCGCCTCCCCCCTTCTTGGAAAGTCTTCCTTCGCCCCATAAAGGTCCTTTGGGGGGGGGGCTCCCAAGTGCACCCCCCCAAAAAAATTAAAAAATAAATTAACAATCCATCCCCGTTGTAAAAAAAAAAAGGCTTCGGGGGGGGGCCGGCAGCCCAAAATTGTGCATGTGCGTGCGTGTGCATTCAGAGTGGGCTATGCTGTGGTGGATCCGGCCTGCTGCCTCCCCACCCCCCCGGCCGCCCCTCACCCTCCAGCAGCCGTTGGATGATGCTGTCGATGTTGAGCTTGTCAATATCCGCCATCGCCTCTCAGCGGCCGGGCAGGGAAGGAGGGAGCTGGACCTCCGCGGCTCCCCCGCCGCCGGCTTCCCGCCCTCCCGGCTTCTTCTTCACCCTCCGGTTCCTTCTTCCGCCCCTCCTCCTCCTCCTCCTCGCTCGGCCGCCTCAGCACAGGAGGAGCAGCAGGAACACCCACGGCAGCGCCGGACAAAATGGCCGCCTCTCCCCTCCCTCGCGGAGAAGCGGCGGCGGCGGCAGGAGCAGCGACTCCCTCCTCCTCCTCCCCGGCCCCGCGCAAGGATACGAAGGCGGGGACTCTTTCTCCACCAAGAGCGGGAAGATTGAGGAGGGTGCCGCGCGCCGCCGACGCCGCGCTCTTTTCTCTCTCGCGCGCGCTTCTCGTGGTGCCGCCGCTGCTGCAGAAGAGGGCGTGGATCCTTCCGCCCCTGAGAAGGCGCAGGAAATACATTTCCCCTCAGCCTCTTTCTGAGGAGAACTTGTGAGGGGGGCTAGGCCTAGAAGCCGTGGGGAGGGGGGTTAGGGGCAATGCTCCCTCTAAGCTGTGGAGTCTTGTGAGCAAAAATTCCACTTTGTGAGCTCCTGGCATCAAAGCTGTGAGCGAGCGATTGGGCTCCTGCATCCATGAGTTTGCTCTGGAGGCTTTCTTCCTGAGCTGAGGCAAAAAGGTGTGAGCTGGAGCCTGTAAAACTGTGAGCTAGAGGCTGTAAAACTGTGAGCTAGCTCACACTAACTCAGCTTAGAGGGAAGACCAAAAGGGCGATGCGTCTCTCCAGGGTTTGATTTTGCGCTCTAGCACGCGTTGAGCAAGAGTTAGCCCCACTTTTTTTTCTTCCAGTGGGAGAGCTCTCAGCAGTGAGATTTGTGAAGAAAAAGAGTGCGCCAGAGTACGTGCAGAGTGCTTCTGTGTCTGCCCTGCGGTATTCAGTGGGAGGGCTTTCAGTCACAGGATATCTGTCTGCCAGGACGGCCTGCCCAAAGTTGGAGTGTGTTTTACCTTTAGGTAGAAAGATTAAGGATCGCGCACAGCTCTCTCTGCTTGGAGCAGAAATAGGCCTTATTCAGATGCACGGATGAGTGGCACTGGTAGCCTGTGGTACGAAAACAACGGATTCTGATGGAGTGTGCGTGCACATGGAAGCTTATACCCAGAATTAAAGTTGGTCCTAAAAGTGCCACTGGACTGCAGCTTTGTTCCGTTGCTTCAGACCAACATGGCTACCCTCCTGAATCTAGATTCTGTGGCTATTTAAAGACTCACAAATGGATCATCCTGTGATATCTTCCCTTTTCCAGACTGGACCAACCTGTGACGTGAAAGTGCAAAGGCTGCTTTCTTTGAGCCAAGGACATAATTCTGTGCAGTTCTTGCCAAAGATCAAATCATACTTTTTAAAATTGTCCCATCACTTAAAGACACTTGCAATTTTTTCAGGGTTTTTAAAATTCTGGCTATTACAGAAATAATTTCAGGGGAAGCCACCAAAAACCCAAAGCAATTAAAATCAGCTGAGTGTTGATAATTTCATTCGCAGGGAGGAAGAATGTGCAACCACTTCTTGTTCTTAATCTCTTGGCTGAATGTCGTTTAATTAGCATATTGATGACTCTTAATTGTCCGGGGGTTGTTTCTCTTCCACGGAAGTCAGTCCTTTCCCCCTGCAGGGCAGAAGCTTTCTGATGTACACAGACTGGATTCTTTAAACTGGCAGTTATATAATAATCATGACCATAACATGTTATTATGGCTGGCGGAGGCAGTGAACGAGAGTTCAGGGTGGTGTGCCGAGGGTGTGATGCGCCCAAGGAAACTGCACCGTCAGCTCACCTTGAAGCAAGTCAGGAAGAGCGAGTCAAAGCCAGGGAGATCTGGGTCATCCGCTGCTTCGGCAACTACCGGACGCAACTTGCATCTTAGTATTGTTGCTAAGACAGCCAGGAAGTTCTGAAGCAAACAGGATTATGAAACATCCCCGTTCAAGTCCCGTAACACGCCAGACACCCATGAGATTTTCAGGGTACAAGCTTGCAAGAGTCAAAAGGCTCCCTTTGTCAGAGACTAAGATCTAGCTGTTCTACTGGAGATTGAATTGTTTTCCCTCTGAAACTATCTTCAGGGATTATGAAAGACTCAGAAACCCTTGAACCTGACTCAGACTTGCAATCCATCATGATCTACTGTGACTCACGGCTGGTCTCAGGCAGAGAAAGGCCATTCCAAGCTCCTGTCACCTCGGACCCTTTCACTGGAGATGCTGGTGATCATCCACAGCACAGGTTCCCAATCATTTTGAGGCTGCGGGCACCTTTGGGATTTTGAGAGGGGGTAGTGCCACCTCAAAATGGCTTCCATAGGAAGCCAAACCCAAGATGGCTGCCTCAGAAGGTGGAGCCAAGCAGAATACCTCCTTCCTCACACTTCCTGGGAAGAAGAAAATCCTTAAGGAGGAATGGAACCACAGTCTGGCTGAAGAAAGCCCAGTCCCGCAGTGAATGAGAGAAGACAACAACATGCCCTGCCTTACGGGGGGTCCCACCTACTTTCTGAAAAGGTCAGTGGGCACAAAGGGAAGTACTGGCTGGCACTGTGGTGCCCACAGGTACCGTGTTGGGGAACCCTAATCAACAGTCTGAAAGAACCACTGAGCCTCCTCTCAGTTGTATTAAGCTGTTTTATATCAACCCCAGACTACTAGTCTCTCTAGCTCAGTGTTGTCAGCTCTGACTGACAGCACCCCTCCATGATCTTACACACAGAAAGGGGTTTCCTAGTCTACACAAGATTCTTTTACAGGTTACAGTTACTGAACTTTCTGCCTGCAAAGCAGATGCCCTAACACTGAATTATGGACCTTCCCTGCTATGGTAAAATGGTACTCTCAAGCTTCCTATGATAGAAAAGTATTGCAAATGCCCATAACAGCGCCTCTGCTCTGCATGTCTATTTTTTTCGCTTCAAGGAATGCACAAACAGCATTCAGATTCAGGAAACTGTACGTGAGAATCAGGGCTTTCGGGGGCGGGGGTTCCAGACCTCTCAAGAGGGAAATTAAGTTTTTAATCTCCATACTCAAAACTCATGAACTTTTAAACATTTTAAAAAGAATTTTGTCAAAGAGGTTCCGGAACTCCATTCCAACGCGTTCCCCCGGAAAAGAAGCCCTGGTAAGAACTAGGAGGGACTGTAGCTCAGTAGTAAAGCCTCTGCTTTGCGTGCAGAAGGTTGCAGGATCAGTCCCTGGCATCTCCACTTAAAAAAGGGTTTCAGTGATAGGTGATGTGAAAGACCTCTGCCTGGGACCCTAGAGAGCCACTGCTAGTTTGAGTAGACAATAGAAGAAGAAGAGATTGGATTTATACCCCGCCCTTCACTACCCAAAGGAGTCTGAGTGGCTTACAATCTCCTTTCCTCCTCTCCACAACAGACACCCTGTGAGGTAGGTGGGGCCGAGAGACCTCTTTCAAGAACAGCTCTTATCAGAACTACAGCTTGCCCAGGGTCATCCAGCAGCTGCAAGTGGAGGAGTGGGGATCAAACCCGGTTCTCCCAGATTAGAGTCCGTGCACTTAACCATTACACCAGACTGGCTCAGTAGTGACTTTGGTGGACCACGGGTCTGATTCAGTATAAGGCAGCTTCGTATATTCCTAACCCTCTGCAGGGCTCAGCCTTAATACTTGTGACCAGAGGTCATTTCGGGGGGGATCGCAGTTCCCCCAGGTGAGGTACGGGGGGCGGGGCACATGACGAAGCCTCGCCCCCTGCTTCTGCCGCCCCGCTTCCGGCCCTCATTCAACCAGGAGGAGGCAGGAGAAGAGGGAGGGTAAGTTGCTTCCCCCCTACCTCTCCCCACCCCTGCCTGCCTGGGGCCAGGGAGGGCCTTTGTGGGGCTTCCTTGCACTCCATGCTAATGAGTTCCCCTAGCTCTTTTTCTACGAAACAACCCCTGGACAGCACCCCTCCACGATCTTACACACAGAAAGAGGTTTCCTAGTCTACACAAGATTCTTTTACAGGTTACAGTTACTGAACTTTCTGCCTGCAAAGCAGATGCTCTAACACTGAATTATGGACCTTCCCTGCTATGGTAAAATGGTACTCTCAAGCTTCCTATGATAGAAAAGTATTGCAAATGCCCATAGCAGCGCCTCTGCTCTGCATGTCTATTTGTTTCGCTTCAAGGTGATGTGAAAGACCTCTGCCTGGGACCCTAGAGAGCCACTGCTAGTCTGAGTAGACAATAGAAGAAGAAGAGATTGGATTTATACCCCGCCCTTCACTACCCAAAGGAGTCTCAGAGTGGCTTACAATCTCCTTTCCCCCTCCCCACAACAGACACCCTGTGAGGTAGGTGGGGCCGAGAGAGCTCTTTCAAGAACAGCTCTTATCAGAACTACGGCTTGCCCAGGGTCAACCAGCAGCTGCAAGTGGAGGAGTGGGAATCAAACCCGGTTCTCCCAGATTAGAGTCTGTGCACTTAACCACTACACCAGACTGGCTCAGTAGTGACTCTGGTGGACCACGGGTCTGATTCAGTATAAGGCAGCTTCGTATATCCCTAACCCTCTGCAGGGCTCAGCCTTAATACTTGTGACCCACATATTTCTTTCCAGTATTGCAGCCCACAGCTTCCCATCTGGGTCTTAAAAGATGGTTGTTCACTCAGCCCTTGCCCAGAATGTTTGCTGTCCCTTTCACTTGTAGCCTCTTTCCTCTTTGCTCCTCATAGCATCAAGTTCTCCAATCAGCCTTACCTTTGTCTCCTGCTCTTTGTGGCTGTAAGGGGAATATCTACCAAAGGCAAGGTTGCTCCCATGTTCTATCCCCTGCAGTGTGCTGCCCTCTATATTCACCCGTAAGGCCACCTCTGCATATAAATTTTTTAAAATAAATATTGCTATAATAACATTCTAATAACTTAGCAGATGCTGGCATTGCTCATGAACACCACCGGGTTGGTAAAATGTGGTTTCCCCCTTCTCCGATTTAACAAAACATTTTTTTAAGCCTGTATCATTTTAATGATTTTTGCTGGATCTCGGGTTGCCAACTTCCAGGTGGGGTAAAGGTGGGTGGGGCCTGAAGATGTCCCAGAATTATAAGTGATATCCAAATGACAGAGATCAGTTCCCCTGCTTTGGAGGGCAAACTCTATGGCATCATACCCGTTGAGGTCTCTCCTTCTTCCCCAAACACTGCCTTTCCCAGGCTCCACCCCTGAATCTCCAGGAATTTCACAACTTAG